ATTTGTGACCTCGTTGACAGCAACGCCATCTATAACGTAGTTCTTCATCTTCCCATTCCTCCACCAACTTCACCGAGTGCTTCTTGTTGTTTGGGCAAACCTTGACATCAGGAATCAACCCAAGAGACAAAGCAATCAGAATGCCCCGTAGTGAAGTACAATCAGTGAGTTCATTCTCTGAGCACAATGGAGGCCCCAGCGCATGTAAAGTCAAAGCTGGAGATGACGCAAACCAACCTTCACAAACTTCACTTCGGTATTCTGCATGAGTCAGCGGCCGAAACAGACCTGCAGAGCTTTGTTGGGCAGGCCTCCTTCGAACGGATCTGGAAAGCATTTTGCGCAGATACGACAACTACCAAGGCAGTGCTCGAGATGCTACTTCGCGTGAGATATACAAAGAATGAAAATGCAAGAACGACAGGCAAGGGAGGATATTCTTGTGAACACAGTTTACAAGCAAGTGACATCTGATTGTAAGTGACATCTGCAGCACAGCTTACAATCATGGATCAAATGAACTGTGTCTGAAAGTGCACATCGCTCTATGAACACAAGTCAAAGCTGTCAGGAAGCAATACAATTTTCAATCTTTTTCATAACGCGTCCTCTCTCTGTACATAGGCAAGACTAAGCAGGAGCCTCAAAACCACCACCGAATCCAAATACATCTTCTTCTTCTTCGCCCATAGGGTCTGGCGCTGCCACAGGGGCAATGTCGATGGCATCGGTCTCCATGTTGTTGTTCTCTTCACCTTCAACGTCAATGACACCAAAGGCTGTTCGTGCACGCTTTGTCGCTGGTGAGATGATTTCTTCCTTCAAAGCAATTGGCGAAGGACGAGGAGATGCAGGAGCCTCTGGCTCAACAGGAGCTGCTTCCCTTCTCCATTGGTCATGCTTCTCAGCTCTTTCCATATATGCTTTTTCCTCTGGCGTTGCCAACAGCTTTGCAACAAGGGCAGCCTCTTCGTCCAGCTGACTGTCGTAGTTGGCATACTTCTGATGCACTCCCTGCTTGTAAGAGCCATACGAAGATTTGTTTTTGTCGCAGAGCCAATCCTCTGTGATCCCATCACCAGAGAAGCGGTAAATAGTCTCTGACTCATTTTGGCTTGGCAAACGCAAGTACACCGCCCTGCGACCAGCAATGATGACAGCAGCACGCTTCAAAATAGCCATCATGTGAGGATGCTTGGCATACTGGATGGCGACAGCAAACATGCCCTGGAACTGCTCCCAGGTGATGGTATCACCCAAAGAAAGATCTGGCTCTTTGGTTTCATCCCATTCGTTGTTCAGGATCACCCGGCATTGGTTGCGTACAAATTTGGCAGGCTTGTAGCGGGCATCTACTAAGCAAGTCTCACCAACGTCTAAGAAAGACTTGATGTCTTCAAAGTTGATAGCACTGAGGTTTGGGTCATCCAGCAAGACAGGCACATTGACCTCACCCGGCCGCTCGCGAAACCCGTCAATTTGCTTTGATCGCCGCCAGCCAGCCATGCCAGAAAGACCACGAACAGAAATAAGATGACGAGCTACTGCCAAGGTCATAATTTGTGCAGTTGGAGTTTTGCCAATGCCGGCTCGCCCAAGGACCATCAAGCCAAAGTTGGGAAGATAAGGAAGCACCAGGGGCACCACAGATTTCAGAAACTTGGGGTTCAGGTCAAAGAGCAGCAAAGGAAAGAACCATTCCGGTTCAGACTGGCAGTTGCCAGATGACCGGTTTGCGCATGCTTTCTGGACTACTGCAGATGGCCAACCGTAGAGCGGCGATGCCTCATCACGAATGTTCAGCAATACCCAAAGATATTGCTCATTGTGAGCGTTGGCCAGAGGAGCATGTTCATTGATGTAGGCTATTCCACAGCGAAGCTCTTCTTCATCTGGATTCCAAGTCTTGTTGTCTCCATCCTTGGAAGTATGCCGTTGAATCTGTGGCTTGTCCACTACTTCTTG